GTCGCAACTTGATGAAATTTATAAATAAGAAACAAGAGAAAAGATAACCTCAGCACTTACCGGCGCATCTTCCCGAATATCAGCAAAATATGAGTCTCTTTCGAAAATTGGACTATTATCCTGCACATCCAAAACATCCACGGTAACAGCTACACTTGAGGACACTGTGGGATCTAGCCGTTCGTATGCTGTTACCTTCAGAACGTGCTTGTCCAGTATTTCACGATCAAGTGATTTTGCCAGACGGATCTCTCCAGATATCTGAGATTGCACGCGATGTTTACAGAACATCGTTGGTTAGGTAAATATAAATTATGAATAATTACCGTGTCGAGGGTGAATATATTCTGCGATCTCGAATCCTGCGGTGCTGCCAGAGAGTAGTATAAAGGTTGATCAGCTGCATGCGTAGCTTTGACAGTGACTACCAATGTTCCCGGACTTTCTGATTCCAGTAGCTCCTTGACGTAGCTGGAATAGCTTTATTTAAGAGACACTTTAACTCAAGTTAATGCAAACTTTCAAAATACAAACTGCAGAAAGGTCCATATTTCTTTCACCTTACAAAAATTCTATGAACACTGCATTCAAGTATGTTTAATCTTGCAAGGCGCCATAAGAAGTTCAACGAGATAGGAATTTGGAAAATACTCCGAACAAGCAGAATTTCATACCGGTTCTAGCTAATGAAGTACAAGTTCGCTCAGTACGCTTCTAAATTGAAATCCAGACAGCTCAAAAAGTAGAAACATTTTCAAAGAAACCACTTAAGTAGCAGCCAGTATTGAATTTCAAATGCAAAACTCGTCTTACCTCTCTTGCTGAAAGTGTATTGCATTCGGATCGGGATTTCTCCTTCTTAACCATCGTTTAAACCTCTTTTGCTTTGTGAACTTTGGATGACCTATCTTGAATTGGCCTGTGTGAACAACGTCCTTCCATTTATAGGTATATTCGATCAACTCGACAGTGAAGTAAAAACATAGCCTTTGTTTAGCAAAGACTAAGCCAGTCTCATCCACAGAGATCTGCTCGGAATGCAAATCAAGGTGTTGAGAGCAGTTGCTGCCACCTGGCCATTCGAAAATTGGCTGTCCAGGATGCAAACAAGGTGGTTTGGAATATGGAACCCAGTGAATGTTTGTGGGATGTGGAATACAGAAGTGGCCTTGAGAATACTGTCCATCTACGGTAGTTACCAGTAACAAAAGTAGAAGTGCTAAGACCATAATTAGCTAATGGCTGTGAGGGAGAGAGTGCTGTAGAGCAGCCAGTCCTTATTTGGACATGCCTCGGAAAGGGGCGTGACTTTGGCTGACCAGCAGAGGGATTAGACGGCAGGTGGCCGCCCCGGAGGCACAGAGCATTCCGAGAGGATTAGAGTAGGCGGAGTTGGTGAAAAGCGGTAAATTATCTCAAGCGATCCGGGATCCAACTTAGACGAGATGACTGGTGTTGAAGATTGATGCTGAACTCAGAAAAATTAGGAGGAAATGAAGGAAACTTTAGCGACTTTAGGTACTTTGACTTAAGGGCACAAACCGAAAATTTTAGTCGACAAGTTTATCCAAAAAGGGTCCTACTTTGAAGCGTCGCTAGGGGATTACTGCTGATAAAGAATTTAGAAGTTGACTAGGATTGACTGCCTTAAGAAAATCGCTACGACGAGATTACGATCTGCGCAAATGTCGCAATTTGGGAAAGCCTTATTCCAGAGCTATGCGAGAATGGCAATAATAGAAACTACAATAGAGCAAATACTGTAAGTAACTGGCTTGAATATGCCACACAATAGGAATCAAAATCCTGCTGTTCTATTTTACCTCAGTTTCCACGATAATTCGTGACTTTACGAAAATTACTAATAAATAACAAAAAATAGTCATTTTCCCTTCTAGGGTAGCACACTTAGGTGTATAGTATTCGATAAATGTTCAGGTGAAAGAAATCTGCGTTGGATCGGAATCTTTCGAGAGTGCAGCTAGAAAACAGTCCTAATATGGAAGGGTCACTTTTTCTTTAATCATTTAGCAAAACAATACATATTTTTGGAATATTCGGTTAGCTGATTCATATAGGGAGATATATTGTTGGAATACAAAACCAGTGGTAAAATTACTACTGAGAGATAGAAAAAAGCAACTAAAAGTAGCAAAGTGCAACAGCAAAAAAATATCCACAATTAGCACCGACTTGAGTCGTTATAGAGAGCATAACTGCGATTTATCATCCTTTCAACATTCATTCACCATAGCTATTTTTGCACTCTAGAAGGAGGTTCAGAACAGTGTTGCATGAATCAGATAATTGAGTTCTTTTTATTGGAGCTCTAATGGAAAGAGCATTGCTCGTCGTCCAATAAGTACATCGGAAGGTAGCAGGAGGACAGATGAGGTATCGACATTGTTGGAGTTGATAAAAAATCAGTTGAAAGATAACAATCTATACATTTTCAGATGTATCCGTTTTGAAAACATTAACAAACGATTGCAATTGTTTGGAATAGTTTTGTTCGAATGGGTCCACACTGTTTACCCTATTTTCTACCTGATTCTTCCCCTGCTCTTCCGAGAAATACGCATTTGTTGCTGTAAGTAAAAAGTCTCCTCCTGTTTACTTGTAACGATGTATCTGTCGAAAAATAGCAAATCGATATTACTCAAATTCTAAAGTATGTATACAGCTTTATGACACCAAGTTGGAACTGAAAGGATTAATAAACTCATTAAAGTTGTAATTACGTAAAAGAGAATAAACTTATGAATAACTCCAAAAAGAAACCATCGAGACTCACTGCGAGATTACGAGGAAGGAAAAGTCATATTATTCTTGAATCAAAAAGTTATCTTTTTCCATAATGGTTTTATTTGCTCGCTTACACAAGCCTCAAAAAACATGTTCACCTGTTCGGATATTGGACATAGGGCACATGTTTTATCTGGACTGTACAAAAGCAATGCTTTTCTTCAATCCTTTCTGCTTTGAAACAGCACAAAACTGCAGATAAGGTTGAATTCTACATATTACCCAAGTAAAGTACATAAATGAACGGCGTACTTGCGTACTTAAACTTTTTCATTCCTTTTTTCAGCATGCGCAATCCTATGTACTTCTAGTGCACTCTTTTCAAATGTGTAATCTTTTCAATAAGTGCTAGAAGAAATTCGGGTGGCTTATTGCTTAGAATTACTACTCTTCGCCTTTAAAGAACTCAAACCTTCAATGAAACTTGTAATGTGATTATCATTAGGTGGGGAAGCAATAACCCCTTATGTCACATTTTAAGAATTTGCAACGGTTCACTGGGCTTTCGTAAAAATTACAGCAAATAATTAATGTTGCTCGATAGAATAAGGCACTATTTTCCCAAACATCACATACAATTCCAAATTCCAGTACAAGATATCTTTCAAACAATGTCAATTTCCTGACATTTTTCGGCTATCATAGCAACAGAAACAGATGTTGATTTTCAAACCATGTTGCTTGTCTTCCCGACAACTTGTGATATCTAGCATTTTCTAGAAAAATATAAATATTTCCTTAGTTTGATGAGTGACAAAATGTCCGAATCTGAAGTTTCTTGAGTATGGGAAGGGGATATGAAAAAAATTATCGGTTTCATTCCAATCACCCAAAATTACCTGGTGAACATTTTATTTTTGTAAAATCCGTTGATGCTGTTTTCGAAAGGCCCCCGGGTGCATTTTGCATATTTCATTCCGAGCATCACGCATACGATCACAAACGTCAACACTCGTCGCTTCCCAGGGGACGAAACGCTTAAAAACAGCACAGTTCTTCGTTAATTGATTACAAACCATACTCTGCAAATTTCTAATTTTGGCATGTTACCTCTCCTCATAATAAAGAAACAGTTTCGAAACTTATTTCACATAGGTCCTGCTGGTTTCAGTCAGATACACACTTGAAAACTAGTCGAGAAACTCGTGGTGAGCCTATCAAAAGCTAAAGGTTCAAACAAGATAACGCAGTCCTTCAAATCTATCCCATATCGAATAGTGAGCATTGTGATAATACATAAATAAATTATTTTGTAGTAGAGTGAAACGTGTTTTAATCGAAACAGTGTTCAAATTAAAATGTTGCTCAACGCGCTTAAAACGCTGATTTCATCTGAAATTATATCTCTATGCGCCGTTATAAGTGTTTACCTATGTTTTTCTGTTAAGATAACTTAGGCGACCTATCGATTGTAGCATTGACATTGAATAATAAAAGTGCAAAGTTCGAACAACCAAACCGTAATTCCAACAGCAAATAGATTTTGCGTTTAGGCTAGTTGAAATTATCAAGCTTACGAGGAATTATTTGTATAATGTTCGAGTCACACTCAATAAATCTTGGAAATAAGGTGCACTGTAGACATAAAACGCAAATTCAAAACCAGCAAACTGTATGCATTTTGTCAAAAAAAAGATCGATTCAACTGAAATACATTTTGTTAAAACTTATTCTAAAGTAACAAATTTATGATATTGAAGTCGACAAGCAATCATTTCTATAGCGTTGCAGATGATCTTAGAATAGTGGTGGAGGGCTTTGTCAAGTGTTTCTTTTTCTTGAAAAAAAGTGTGGTAGAAATTTTAGGACCAAGTCGCATCTTACCAAATAAGGGCCATAGCATCTTCCAAACAATTCTTACCTGTGCACATTCACATGTTGTAAAGCTCAATGATAGTTAAGAACCTGTGGAAAAGAATACAATGAATTGAAGAATTTAATGGCTCTATATGAAAGAAGTAATGGGTTTACTTAGTATTTTCATGTTTCTAAAGAAAGTAACCATCAAGATC